GCAGAGATATCAGAGAATAACTACCCACACTAAAACAAAATGATTAATATGTTTCTAGATAAATTTGAATCCATTCGACAATTCATCAGCACTTACATGTTACCACTGACTCAGGCTTCTGCAGGCTTTGATGCTACTTTGATTTTTACCTCATTTATGCATCTTAAGTGCAAGGTAGTAAGGGTGGTGATGCCCCTGGAGTGGAAAGGCAGAGAAAAGAAAATGATTGAGCAACCACTGGGGTTGAATACATGGAAATTAGAGTTGTTTGATGATGCACCTGTGACATCCTTCATAGAAAGACCCAGTAGAAAATCTCATATATATGCACATGTGCAGAGTTTTCTTTTTTTCTTTTTTTTTTTACAGAAAGGAAGTATTTTTCAATTAAAAAATGCAAATTCATTTCAAAGTGACACTGACAGTGACTTCAGAGGACATTTTATCACGCACTTTCTTAAATGGTGTGTGCCATAAAAATAATTGCTATCAGAAAATGGGAAACCGCATAAATACTTCGGACATAAACAGAGTGCTTTCATACTTGAAAAGGTTGGAAAACATTTCTCTAGAGCAGTGGTTTCCAAAGTCTTGGGAGTTAGTTCCCCTTTCACTGAAAGTGCTTGGGCACTTTCCATTTCTGTCATTTATTACAAAGCAGGTTGAGAAATATTTATATATGTAATATGATAAATAGTTATAAGACAGGAAAAAAAACAGGCTAAAAACAGCACCAAAGTGTTGGTCCCCCAACACATGATGGCATCTCTAGTGCCCACAGGAGCACATGCACCCTGCCCAGGCCGGAAGGACTGTGAAAGCAGCACTTTCCCCCTTCAGTGCTTACTTTGCAGTGTGGGAATCCCAAACCCTGCTCAGTCTCTTTTGGCCCCACTGGTTTTCAGTTCAGTGTTTTCTCTGGGGACATAGGAGTGTGGAGACCACTGTATAGCTGGCTGGCAGATGAGCCTGCTGGAAGACAGTTCCTCTCAGAGATGTCACAGCAAGCCAGGCACCACCAGAGAGCACTGGGAGAGAGGCCTGTGAAGCCCTGGGGATGCTTCAGAGCAGGTTTCATTGTGGTGGTCGTTTCACTTCCAACCTACCCACCCAGGAAGGTTATGCTGCTGCGGAGATGTTGAGTAACTCCTCCATGTTCACCCTTCTTCCTGCCAGGGAATCAGGGAGACAACTGAGTTGTGTCGCTACCCTCCCAAGTATCCATGTCGTTTTGGAAAACAACCCATTTGATCAAAAGACTCTTGGTTTCCTATTTTAATGTCTTGGGTTTTAGATACCAGCACCAGCTTCTAATGTCTCACTTCTAAAGTCTCCGAGTTGACTACCTGATGCGCCTGAGAAGTGAGATGCAGTCACCTCACCTTAGTGTCCGCTTTGTTTTGAATGTGTCCTCTCTAAAAATCTAGGTGTCAGCAAGGTGAAAGTATCAAGCAGTGGAGCTGATCTAATTATCCGTAAGAGATGGTTGGGCCAGATAATCTCGTCTCCAAGAATGAGATTATGGCCTCAGTAAAAGAGGGCATAAGCCATCCTCCCATGTGAATACAGCAAGAAAGGCATACCTACCTGTAGATGGCATACTCTTAGACCTCCCAAGCTCTAGGACTTTGAAAAAATAAACTTTTGCTCTTTCTAAGTTATCCAGTCTCAGATGGTCTGTTATGGGAACACAAGAAGGCCAGCCTCCGAGACTACATCATACAGACCCAGTGCACAGTTGGTACATCTTTAAGTTCAAACTGCACTTTTAGTCTAACGGGTCCATTTCTTACCTTTTCTAACACTTTCGTTTTCATGGCCTCAGGCTTTACTCCAATGCAAACTCCTCTGTTAATCAAAAATCCGACCCACTCACTCTTCAAGACCAAGATGAGCCCATAAAAATAAGAGGATTTTGCTAACTCTGACCAGGCATAGTGGTGCATGCCTTTGATCCCAGCAGAGGCAGGCGGATCTCTGGGAGTCTGTGGTCAGCCTGGTTCTATATCATGAGTTCCAGGATAGTCAGAGCTATAAAGTGAGGCCCTGTCCCAGAAATAAAACTTTTGCTAACTCTATTTCTCCAGGTGTGGGCCCCAAACACCCTGGACTAACATCACCCAGGAGAGTTGTTATCAGTTTGAACGTTAGGTCACCCTTGGGGACCTTATTGCTGTTTTAACTGGGCATCTTATTTCTCACCTCTGTACTTGTAAACCAGTAACGACTGGAAGCTGGAAGTGAGGCCCTGCACAGGGCAGTATGAGAGCCGCACGAGTCTGCTAACTGAGGACCAAGCCCTCTCTTTACAGAGCCCACTTCTTCCTTCAGCTAAGCTCTTCAGGGACTAGTTGGATTCAGGATCAGGTTTAGAGCCGCTCCACAGAAGGAAGGCTTTGTGCCTTTCACTGTTGTGAGTCAATGAGAAGGCCCCGCACATTGAGAACATGGGAGGCCTGCAGGTCCCAACGGCCACTCCTTCCAAACATCCCTTGTTGAAAATTGAGTCGAACCTGTGCTGTGAAAGCATGCTCCAAGGCCAAAGGCAAAGTGGAATTTTTTTTTTTAAGGCACAAGGCAGTGGTGTAAAGCAAGAATTAGGGGCACAGGAGGCCTACTTGGCAGGAATGAGCATGTTCACCGGCCCTAGATGCCTTCAGAGAGGGCCGAAAGTAAGCACTCCTTCTTGATTTCATTAGGATGGAAGAGAACAGGATGGTATCCAGCCCTTCACTTTTCCCATGAAGAACAGGGAAAGACATGAGTTAGAGTTGATGAGGAGGAGGTAGTCCAATAGACAGTGTTCTCAAGTCTGTCTTCTACCTCTGTTAACTGGACAAATAGCTTGGATAAGTTCTCAGGAACACTAGATTTTTTTTTTTTAGAAAACAAGAGGAAACCCCCACCAGTTCTAGCTGGGACTTGGCATTCCCTGAGTCTTCCTAGTGAGGGGCCCCACTGCACTTATAAATTGGATTCTTGTGTGTGTGTGTGACCAATTAGTATGACCAGCTTCATCTTGGATTGGACAAAAAGAACCCTCAGATGGAAGTAATTACATTCCTAAACCCTTGTATTTATAGAATGTATTTTCCAGAAAGCTGAAAGCTGGCCCTATTTGTCTCCGTGTGCTTGGTTAGGGGCAGTTTTCATAATGAGTATCATTTGCCATTTGGAGGATGGAGATGCTTTGCAAGTTGAAAAGGTCACATGCATTTGCAGCAGAATGTCGAAGGGGTTGCTCAGCTCCCACCCCTGTCAGTCACTGATTTCTAAACTGAGGTCCACAGACCAATGCCAGGGAGGCTACATAAAGATCATCTGTGGGTTCAAAATAGAACTTCCTGGACCTGTTCTTTTAGAGATTCCAGCTTCCTAGGCCTAGGTTAGATGCTGTATGAACACTCCAAATACTGCGATTCACTAGATTTAGGAACCATACCTGACAGTCACACTGTCTACCTTCTGCTCTTTCAGGAATGCCTTTGACTGGAACATGCCTTATGTAATGTCTTTTTTTTTTCCTTGACACCCCCTAACTTCTCTGACACCTCTCTAACCTTCCTCAGGCCTCCCAGCTCAGGCCAAGAAACATGCTGTGTCTGCCAGGAACACACTGCTGACCTGGAAGCAAAACACAACCTCAGACAAGGAGAAAAGGGAAATCCTGGGAGCTCTGGTCATGCTCTACTACACTCTGGGAATAGCTTGGCTCCTCCAAAAGCGATATCCTTTCTTTCCCAAGTGGATCTGGTGATGAAGGTTACAGGCTGCATGCCACATGGGAGGGTGGAAGGCGGAAGTGGTTCCTATGAAGTGTGTTCCAGCATCAATATGGCCCTCCATAAGATATTTGTCCACCCACAGAGGTATGCATTTTATTTTTGGGTTTGTTCCTGTAAGGCCCGAGTTGAGCCATGGAAGGGATCTCACTAGCCACACACCCCATAGCCAATTGGAATGTTCTAAATCTGGTAGGCCTTCCATGGAACACTCAAAGTTAATATTCCCAATGCATATGTAAGTGGTAGTGGTGGTAGCAGTGTAAGCCTGGAGAGAGTGTGTGGTAATTTAGAGGGCACTTTAGCAAACTAGCCCTTTATCCATAGTAATTCTCCGGGGGGAGCTTTAAGAATAAGTGCTAAATGGCTTCTTCCCTGGGAATTTTTATTTTATTTTTTTTTTAACTAGGTCTAGGGTAATTCTGTTCCTTGAACTGGTTGAAAGACACAAATAACTATAATGTGTAGCAGAACCCACTGGTTTAATGGTGCTTGATCATCTAATGCTTTTTTTTTTTTTAATGCTGTTAAGAATATTGCCTGTGAAAACAGAAGCCACACAAATGGACCACTGGTGAAGTTCTCCCTGTCTCCAGAAAAGGAGCCTGGTATATGACTGTATCACATGACATACTCAGCTTATAAAGGGGTTGGGAGTTATGTCAGCTTATAGTTGTAGAAGTTCTAGTTCAAGATCTGCTGGATCCTCTGCTCTTGGGCCTGTAGCAAGGCATCATGTCAGGAGTGCCTAGTAAAGTAGAACCATTTACCTTATAGCCAGGGAGGAGATGAGAAAGAGGAAGATGCTGGACTCCCACTGTGCTTATCAAGGGCATCTTCCCATCCTTGTAACCAGATCCCACCTCATCAAGGTTCTACCATCTCCCAAGTATCATGATAATATGCAAGCTCTTGGTATGCAGACCTTTCAGGACACCAGCGAGCAAAGTGATATCAACGTCTATCCCCAAGAAATGTGTGATTTTGTTCTTTATAGTCTCCCCACTTGGAAGGTGTCAAGAGAGGTAGAGTTCCTGAGTAATCTTGAGCATTCTGAGCTCAGAAGCGTCCATCTCTCCCCCTCTATATACCTTCCTCTCCATTGGGTCTGTCAGTTTGCGATATCTGCTATGTGGTCCTCTGCTGTTACACCCTTAGTGGGGAGCGATTAAAATTCGGGAAATGGAAGGATGTTTGGGAATTAAGGGGATTTTCTTTTCTGCTGTTTGCCTCTGGCTCCAAACCTGCTTTTCTTGGATTTTATAAATGAACCAAAAAGTCCCTTTCAGCATAATTACTTCCTCTCGTTTCCCATCGCTATGAAACAATTTGGTAAAAATGAATAACTGTTGTCGGGCAGTCGATGTCGCTAAAGGATATCTAGTATAATTTACAGTTTCCGTTTCTTCCTGCAGACACTCACCACTCCAGACCTGGATTCAGGCAGCCACCACAGGAAACCCATGGCCTTGTTCTTTTCCAGAGAATTCTCCCTTCGTGATGACACACACTGGAGAATTGAAAACACAAATAGCTGTTTTCAAAACAACTGCTTGGTTTTCCCAAGGGCCCCATGGGTTAGCGTATAGACGGCTGTCCCTATACAATGGCAGTTAGTGTGCCTGGCATTTCCCTTGACTGACTCACTGGCAAACAGGCCTATATCCACCTGCAGAAAGCGGACAGAAACATGAAGGAACTGAAAGACTTGAACAACGGAGGTGTTGGGGGAAGCCAAGTCTCAGAGAAAGACCTAACCGTTGCTTTGGGCAGGTAAGATCTAGCCATAAAGAAGCAGGAGCTTTTGTGAATGAGGTCTGGGTTGTTTTTTCCTGTTCTTTGACCTAATAAAAGGGGGAATATGTTTGGAGTAAAAAGCCCAGAGCTCAATTGATAATAAAAGAGGTCCTATTTGTCAATTGTGGGTTCTGTGAGTTTACTGAGCACTGCCACCATTAATCCTCACAGCCACCACTGAGGTGGGCCGTATGACTGTGGTTTCCTCAGAGAGCCAGGAGACTGAGCTGAGGTTAAGCAATTGGTCTAAGGCAGTGGTTCTCACCTGTGGGTCGTGACCCCTTGGGGGTCACAAAACATATATCCTGCATGCCAGCTATTTACATTGATTCTTAACAGTAGCAAAATTACAGTTGTGGAGTCACAACAAAATAATCTCATGGTCTGGGGTCACCATGACATGAGGAACTGTATGGAAGAGTGGCAGCTTTCGGGGGGCTGGGAGCCGCTGCTCTAAGGTGACTTGGTTTGTTCTATATGGCATCTGTGATCTGAACTCATCTCTCTCTGCCCTTCATTATTGTAGCTCTCCTGTGGTTACTTTGGGATGGACTTGTTTTTCTGAGTTGCCTCTGTCTTTTGTCATAGAGTATGGCGTCTTCACAGATAAGGAAAGAACACTTAAGATGGCTGATTGGAGACTGTCAGAGCTATGGACAGATGTACATTTTTAAGGAAAGCTCTGTTCTGTGTAGAAACAAAGTCCACAGGATTTGTTTAAGTCAGAACAAGACTTAAAACTGTTTAGAGTTGAGTTAAGGATCCTTTGAGAATCCAGTATTTAGAAAGGAGAGTGGGCCCATCAGATTATCAGGAGAGAGAAATAATGAAAGTTTACTGTTCCCCAGATTTTTCAAATATCTTCACATCCTTGAAAGAAATCTCTAGTTCTAAGCTCTCGGCACAGTGGGGCAGATGACTGAGTGGTAAGTAAATGAAACATGTGCCTCACATCTGCCTCCTCTAAACAGCCATGAATCTAGAAGTCAAATGGGACATGGTGGGGACATGTTGGAATGTTCAGAACAAAATCAGACTATTGACTCAAGTCTGTAGGGCCATAGTTAGAGTCTGGTGAATGTCTCCTGCTGTCACAGAGGGCAGTACTTAAAGGTTTTCTGCCTTATGTGAAACAAAGCCATGTTTCCTTTTCTCCATCTATTCTAATATTTTACTCATTCATACCACAATCTTTGAGTATCTGTTTTGTGTGGGTACTAAGTGTCAGAATGCTTACTAGGAATAACACATACCACACCCTGTTCTCAGTGCTTGGAAATTGTATTTCATTCAGTCCTTGCCATAACCTATGAGGGTAGACATTCTTAATATTTTTATTTTACAGATAAGAAAATAAGGCACAGGAAGATTAACTCAAGGGGACAGAATGAGTTGAAGATCTTGGCTTATCATTGAAACATCTGATAGCCTATTTTCTGCACCATCCCATTATATTTGATGTGTATCAACTATCTAGTAAAGACAGATATCTAGTAATGCCTTTTTCCATTGAAGGGTAGAGACACTAAAGGCAAGATTGTCCAGGCCAAACAACTTGCTAACATCTTCCTCAAAGCTCTTGATGGGAGCCATTCTTAATGTCTGAAGAGCAAGAGAAATATTTTTGATTAAGAGAAACACATGTCTGGTTGATAGAAGAGATTATTGTTACAAAGAATGATTGGACATTCTAATCTAGTGCCTGTGCCCTTGGTCATGCACACTCATGAATGAGTGTGACAAGATGAATCTATCAGAAAGGCTAGCTTACAGACCTTTTGCTCTCTTCAGGTGCAAGTCACAAATAGGCAGCCCTGAGTTCTTTTTTATTGAGTCAAACTCAACTCTGTTGTCTAGGCCGTTCTCAAGTTTACAGAAATCCTCCTGCTTCTGCCTCATGAGTACTGGAAATATGGTTATGGGGCATCATATTTAGCCTAGAGTTTTGGGGGCTCACAAACCCAGAGGCTTTAAGCCTGAAGACCAGGAGCTTTATGATTTTAGAAGCCAGAAATCTGTAGTTCTTGTTGCTGCGGCAGAGACGTATTGCTCTGGGTTTGGAGCCCTGTCACCCTGCAGTAGATGGTATGGCATCTCCTGAGTCTCAGGAGTCAGGCTCTTCCCATTTTAAACATTGATAGCTCTCTAGATCTTTGCTTGAGGGTCTTGCAGTACCAGCTTTCAGAGTCTCTTACCTTCTATAATCTATAATCAGTTCTGAACCCTAGCTGTGCTCTCTGGAACTCTTTAGACACTTTGTGTGTGTGTGTGTGTGTGTGTGTGTGTGTGTGTGTGTGTGTGTGTGTGTGTGTGATAAGCAGTCTCAGGCTGAGTGTTACAGGGTCTTAGTGTCTTCTGTGAGAGCGATGAAGACTACAGGTGGGCAATAAAAGACAATTCTGGAGAAGCCTCTGTTGGCATCTAGCTTTGCAGCTCAAGATATTGCCCTACTGAGAAGCCTCTTGACTGACCTGAAAAAACATGAAAATGTGTCTGCTTGTAAGCCAGAAAAGGTGAATGGCATGCTTGTGCATAGCTTCTAATCCCATAGTCACAGCCTCACATGTACATGACTGCTAGTTCTACCAGTTATCAGTCTTACATATAAACCAATCATATGTGTTACACATGTGTGGCATGTAAGCATATCAATCACAAGCTTTCTGCTGAGTCCTTAGGGCTTGCGCTTTGTCCCACCTTCACTAATATTACACGATCCACAGGTTGTGTTTATGAGTAAGTTACCCCATCTTATGAATTCTGGGTGACATTTTTTATTTGCATTTTTATAAAAATTGTATCAGAATAAAAGTATCTTCATGGGTTAAGCAAATGGTGGTAGTCTGTGGGATCTTGTAGGCAAAATTCAGGATAATGGGAGTTTATTTAAAGCAACACTAGGTTTTGAGCCAACCATCCAGATGATTTGTCTATGAAGACAAATTCTTCTTGGAATTAATTCCTTATGTGTCTGCAAAGTAAGTGACCTCTGTGTGACTTTCTACCTTCTTTTCTTGTAGAGCCTCCTTGGCCATGCACAGGATGAACCTAGCTCTGGCATACTTTGAAAGGGCTATTGGCAACATCATCATTGCCAAGGGTCATGGCACATCAGAACTGATTAGTCTGTATGAAGAAATCGCTCAGATTGAGCAGCTGAGGAAGAACCATGAGCAGGCCATCCAGTATTTGCAGCAGGTTGGTTCTTTGGCAAGGTGGTCTTGTTTGGATCCAGACCCAGTTGCTTCTCATAACAAGGAGTTAAGATTGGTCCCTTTACCCTAGCATCCTAGCATAGAATTGCTTCTATGTTGTCTTAGTTAGGTTTTTTATTGCTATGAAGAGACACTATGACATATTTGTTCTGTGACCTGATTGGGAAATAACACAGCCCCTCCTAGGTCTCTCATCTCTGTCCGTGCTGGGAGGAAAACAAGCTTGAGCCTACCCCAAGAGGAAAAACTCATAGGGGCAGCCAAACTTGACTTGAAGAAGACCAAAAGGAAAGACTGGCAAGACAGATCAAAGGTATTTGCCAGGCAAATACCTGGTGACCAAAATTTGATCCCTGGAACCCATGGGAAAGTGGAAGGAAACAGCAGATTCCACAGACTAGCCCTCTGAGTTCCACATGTGTCTGTACATGTAGATGTGCATACATAAGCAAATAATAACAGTAGGGATAATAAATAATTTTTAATGTTTGGCCCATAGAGAGTAGCACTATTAGGAGGTGTGGCCTTGTTGAAGGAAGTGTGTCACTGTGGAGGTGGGCTCAAGCCACATGCAGTGTGACAGTTCATTTCCTGTTGCCTGTGGATCAAAATGTAGATTTCTCAGTTCCTTCTCTAGCAACATGTCTGCCTACATGCCACCACGCTTTCCACCATGACAGCAATGGGCTAGACCTCTGAACTGTAAGCCAACCCCAATTAGATGTTTTCTTTTATAAGAGCTGTCATGGTCATGGTGTCTCTTCACAGCAAGAGAATCCCTAACTAAGACAGAACTCTTATCTGAAAACCCATCGTATTTTGTTATGTCAGATGCCCTTTAAGTTCACTGAAATGAGTTTTATTTCCAAATCTAAAGTTAAACAAGTGGAAGTGTATCTCACGTAGGGGTAACTAATTGACAAGTACTCAGGGCAAACCAAAGCAAAGGAAGAGATATTGAGCCTATGTTATAAATACAATTTAAGGCACTTCCATTTAAAATGTGCTTAAACAGTTAGTTAAATTGACCTTTCTCTCTTCTGAACAAAATGCTGCAGTATGGTCAGAAGTCTGCTTTCCCCACAGATATCCTGGCATGCTGGATTCCGTACATGGAGAAAGTAGTAGCACAGCCCCACAGTCTTACGTTAAAAGCAAAGGAGCTAAGAAAGGTGCGGAGAACAATTTGACAACCCAGGATTACAAATACTAGGCAATGGAGAGCAGCATTAGAGGATCTGCTTTGGTGCCAGAGTTACTGCCAGAGAAAGACAAGGGTTTTGAATTCAAAGTTCTCAACACTGTGGTCAAGCCAGGCAGTAGTGGCGCACGTCTTTGATCCTAGCACTCAGGAGACCAAGGCAGGCAAATCTCTGAATTTGAGACCAGCCTGACTATACAGGAAGTTCCGGGACAGCCAGGACTACACAGAGAAACCCTGTCTTGGAAAAACCAAAAACCAAACAAACAAAAAAAAAACTGGTCAAATTAGAATGAAGAAAGTAATGAACATCAATGTTTATAGCAACACCAAAAAAATAAGAGTTAAAATTTATAGAATGTTTTTATCAAGTGCACTTGAGTATGTATTTCATTTAACCCACAAAGACCTTAAAAGTAGGTATCATTATTTTATCTCATTTTTAGGGATTAGAAAAGTGAAGCACAGAGTTATAACTGATTCAGCTGAAGTTATATGGCCAACAAGTGGCAAAGTAGAAATTTGAACCCAGAAAATCTGACCCAGGAGCTTCTAGTTTAAGGAACAGTATGCACACTTTGCACTGCCTGGCTTCATGGTGGGTGGGTGATGATAATCCCTTTAGCTCCTTGAGAGAGTTACAAGTCGTTATGCATAGGTGAGTCTGTCCTTGCTGGTAGCTATGGGACAGCTGATTTCACTCTTCTTTTCTCCTAAGTGACATACTTTCCATTTAAATACAGATATTTAGTAATACCACTAATAATTATTATTATTGTACACTTCTCTAATGGTTACTGAATTCCAGGTGATATTATAAACACTTTACATATATTAATCTATTTAACACTTACAGCAACTGTTTGTGACAAATTCTATTTTTATCATCTTTTCCTCCTATATTTGAAGAAGTTAAGGGACTATCCTCTGTCACGGTAAGTGTCAGCTAAGTAGGACTGGAGCTCTTGGACCCATGTTTTATGACTTTTTGATACTGAGCTCTCAAGATTCTGAGCTAATGTTATAGTTATGTTCTGCTATGAGACCTCGTAGAAGTAATGCAGCTAAGATTTAGTTAGAACTGACCATGTGATGCATCGCATCCAGTGTTTGCATATGCTGACTCTTTTAATCTTTCCTGAGCCCTAACCAGTAAGACCCATACATTCCTTTCTGTATAAGAAGGTGAAATCTCGGGTTGGGGATTTAGCTCAGTGGTAGAGCGCTTGCTTAGCAAGCACAAGGCCCTGGGTTCGGTCCTCAGCTCTGAGAAAAAAAAGTGAAATTTCTCGTTCAAGACCCACAAAAGTAAGTGACTGAGCTGGAACTCAGGCTCTGCTCTCATTTAATTCTGTGTCTAGCTGAGTTGGTTCCCAGTTAGCTAGTAATTCTGACAGTTGCTGAGAAATGCAGTGAAAGACTGTCACTGGGTACTGACCTTGTCATGGGTTTCTAGACTGTCACCAGGTACTGATTTTGACATGGTTTTTTTTTTTTCCAGGCCTATTCTATCTGTGTTTCTTCATTTTCTGAAGTCAGCCCCCAAACTGCTGAGGCGAGTGCTTTGCTAGCTAAAGCTTATGCCATGTCTGGAGAATCCCAGCACAGGGGTAGGTAGAGGAGGTGGCTTTGCATTTATCATCACTCCCCAGTGACATGAGAAGCAAACTGATGAATGATCCATAAATAAGAGATTATAGGTAGCTACTCATGTAATGGAAAGATAAAGCTAGTACAATTTTGCAAAAAAAATCAATTCCATAATTACACATGAGGTCACAACTGGAAATATCTTCCCAAATTAATGGAGCACTAAAACCAACTATTTTCTATTTCCTGTACTCCTTAGAATATCTGCCCCATTTACCTTTCTAAACTGTAGAGATCACACACACTGTATTCGTGGCTTACCATATGGACTCAGTAGAAGGGGAGGCATCAGCTCCTCCTCTCTCCCTGCACTCAATCTTAACTCCCTTCTTCCAGCTTTACAAGAGAGAATGATGTAGCAGTTAGAATTTCCAGGACCTGTATTCAAAGATAATGGACTAGGATTTCTAGAGGGAAGCTAAGTGTTTGTTGAGTGTCTCCTCCAGCAAGACTCCTCTGTCCAGCAAGGTGGTCGGTGTGAAACTGGGTGGCAGACAGATGGCTGAACGGGTGAGGGAGGCAGGATTGGCTTGAGCAGCCTGACGGATGCCGGAGTCGATTAAAGGGACTTTTCTCTGTCTTGGCTTCACAGACGATGGGGTGGGGTCTGCCCTGTCGGAGGAATTTGGGATTTGTGCAGAATGTAAAATGTCTTTCCCTAGCCAGGTGGCAGTGGCCCACACCTTTAATCCCAGCACTCAGGAGGCAGAGGCAGGTGGATCTCTGTGAGTTCGAGGCCAGCCTGGCATACAAAGTGAGCTACACAAACACTGTCTCGAAAAACCAAAAATAAATAAATAAATAAATAAAAATAAAAGATGTCAAAAATGTACATTGGAAAAAGAAACAGTCTTTTCAAAATAAGGTGCCAGAATTACTGGATTACTACATGTAAAAGCTTGGAACTCAACCTTATCTCTTATCCTGTAAGAAAATCACAATATAAGACCTAAAATTCTCAAACTAATAGAGGTGTAAGTAGGGAAACCCTTCAGGATATTGGTGTAGTAAGCACTTTCTGAGAGTGACTGCAGTCACTCAGGAACAGCACCAACAACTGACCAATGAGATTTCATGACATTAAAACATTGCACAATAGAAGAAAAGATTGAAGAGGCAGCCTTCAACACAGGAGGAAGTCTTTGCTAGCTCCACATCTGAGTAATACCTGGAACATAAAAAGGACTAAAACAAACAAAACAACAACCCAAACAAACCAGTCAATAAATGAGATAGTGAAATGAGCAAACAGTTCTCAGAAGAAGAAAGGGTAACAACGGTGGTGGTGGTGGTGGTGGTGGTGGTGGTGGTGGTGGTGGTGGTGGTGGTGGTGGTGGTGGAGGTGGTGGAGTGGTGGGCATAGCTGCTTCCAGATGGCCAGTAAACACAAAACCATGTTCAGCATCAGTACCAATCAGAGACGAGCACACAGAGGTGAAGTTGAGATTCCATCACCCCAGTCAGAAGTCACAGGAAAGCAGGCTTATGTGACCCCAGTGAAATCACATATTTTCAAATGTGTATCTTCAGGCCTTATTAAACTAAATTAAACTCCAGCTAGATTAAAACTTTACCATCAAAACTGAAAATAAAAATTTTGATGGATGAAACTTTATAATAGCAGTTTTAAAATAGAAAGAACTAAAATTAAACTCAGAGAAAGGACTTTCTATGCACACATAAAGGTATACAGTGAAAGATGCTGAAAATTTTCATTACAAAAGATCTAAAACCATGTCTATCAAGCAAACAAGAAAAAATGCTGATGAGGATGTAGACAAAAGCAAATCTTGAACAGTGCTGGTGGGAATGTGAACAGAGATATTTGCATATACATTGGTGTTTGTTTCAGCCCTATTCATAATAGCTAAGTTCTGAAACTACCTGGGTGTCCATTGACTGGAATGGATAAAATAGATACACAATGAAATGTTTTTAGCCATAAAAAAGAATGAAGTTGTGTCATGTGCAGGAAAATAGATATAACTAGAGGTGATCATATGATATGGATTTTATGTGTTTTCTCATGGAGTCATAAAATATGTACAGATGACATAAACGTTGAAACAAAACTGTCAAGGAAAACAAAGGTGGATGCTGGGAGGGTGGCAGGAGATATTAGCCACACATCTCATAGCTGCGACAAAATGCCTGAGGGAAGGAGTGAAGGAAGAGTCTGTTTTGGCTTACAGTTCCGGGGAGTGCATTCCATCCGAGAAGAGAGTGCATGGTGCAATGATGCCGATGACCAGATGCAGCTGGTTTAAGTTCAGGAAGCAGCACACTGATGAGGGCCTGTCCTTGGCTCCCCTTCTCCTTTTAATCCATCCCAGACCTCGGCCCACAGAGTGACACTGGCCATACTTAAAGCCGGTCTTCTTATTTCAGTTAATTCCTCACAGACTTGTCCAGAGATCTGTTCCCATAGTGATTCTAAATCACAGGAAGTTAACAACCAAGAATAGTGCCATATGAGGCATTAGGACTGGAAATGTGATATGAAATATATCACATTTCATATAGATGTGAATGAAAGAAGTCTTATGTAACCCAGTACAATAAAATAAAAAACTTTTGGAAATTGTATATATTCAAGTTTTAACTTCAGCTAGATTAAAACTTCATGCATCAAAACTGAGAATAAAAATTAGCCATGAAAAAATACAGTTCTGGAAAGGAAAAAAAAAATTAAACTTAAGCCAAATGATTTTTTAAGCATACATAAAGGTATAGTATGAAAAAAGAGATTAAATTTTAATTACAAAAGGACCTGAAACTATGTCTGTAAACAGAATTTAAAAGTCATCCAGGATGAACAAGTAGCTTAATAGATTCATATGGATAAAAATAATTTTTTGTTTTTTTGTTTTTGAGACAGGGTTTCTCTGTGTAGCTTTGGAGCCTTTCCTGAAACTCACTCTGTAGCCCAGGCTGGCCTTGAACTCATAGAGGTCTACCTGCCTCTGCCTCCCAAGTGCTGGGATTAAAGGCATGCTCCAGCACTGCCCGGCTAAAAATAAATGTGTAGTTAACCTTCCTAAGAAAGAAATTTCCAGGAGCCGACAATATCATTGTGGAATTCTATGTAGCATTTAAAGAATAATACCAATTCAACATAATCTCCACAACATAAGGATGCTCTGGAGGAAGGAAGGTTGGAGAAGGATGGAGAAAGGAGGAAGAATGATGGAATGACTTGTCAGATAAAGGTGCTTGTGACCATGTCTTGAAGCTTGAATTCAGTTCCTCAAACCCACATGGTAGAAGGAAAGAACTGACCTCTGAAGGCTGTGCTCTGATCTCTATGTGCACACCATGGCACATGAATACCATCCTTACTACCCTCCATGTGCACTCACAAAAATAAAATTTAAGATGTATTAAAAAAAAA